GGGGGGGGGGGGTGGCAAGGCGGCCTCCTGACGTTCAGGGCAGCCGGTTGACATTTTATTTCTCAGTGGGGTCTTGGATCCTCTCCATCCTGCCAGAAGACACCCTTTTACTGAACATCCATGGGCCTCCCGTCTTTGTCTCCCTAGTTTTCTGAATGGCTATTTCCCGGTCATCTTTCTACCCTGAAATTTTCTACTCATCCAAGTGAAGTGATGCCTATTGTAGCTCATAACACAGGTGTCCCGGTCACCGTCATAATTGTTATTTATGCCGCACAGCTCAAGAAGCGGGAGGGCGGCTCGCAGGTAATAACAGCTTTGGAGGCGCTGATGTGCAGAGACACCTTCTTGCCCAGAAGCCAGGGCTCATGTGAATCCCCCAGGAGGTGGGGCTCATCTCCCAGGCACCCAGGCACCCAGCAGGCCCTCACGATTCCTGGGCATCGTTTAGGTGGCAGCTGAGGCACACAGNAGGGGCCAAGCAGCCGCTCCCACGCTCCTCGATTCACAGGTGTAGGGCTCATCTCCCAGGCACCCAGGCACCCAGCAGGCCCTCACGATTCCTGGGCATTGTTTAGGTGGCAGCTGAGGCACACAGCTACGGGGGAGCTAGAGAGAGCTGTGACACCTGACCAGAAGCTCCAAGCCTTGAAGGCATTTCCGGAGACACCCAGATGAGCCACTGCTCATGTGACAGTGGCAGGTGTGCCTTAACCATGGGGACGCTTGCGTTTACGAGGAACTGGGAGACTATCAGGTGTTTGATCAACCTGCTGTCCTTGATGACTCATTTGAAAGGGCCCTCTCCCAGGAGGACTTTCAGTAAAAAAGAAGGAGGCATTCTGAGAACTGCGGTGGGACAGCTTTTTGGTTTCTCAGGCTCTATCCCTATGGATATGCCCGGGACAGAATTCAGGTCCAAGCAGAGAGGCAAGAAAGCTATCTCCCAGACCTGTCATTACTACGGCAACTCCGAAACTCCTGAAGGATGTACATTGCTCGGTCTTCAGGCTGAGGCTGCCTCACCACCCGCCATACATTTCCACGGCAGATCCAACTTCCATATCACCAGGCTGGGAAAGAGCCACCTGTCAATGGGCCACCGAGCCAGGGCCTCATTACTGACTCTCAGCTTCCTCCTCCCTCTGTCCACTCCTAAGAGCTCTATCCAATTTATAAAATCCAGGGGTGCACCTCCCTTTTGGGAACCAACAACCTCACCAGTGTCCAAGAGGCTAAGCAGAGAGATGATTTTCCCTGGGGTTCTCTGAGGCCAAACTTTATGACTTCTGGTGGGATGCTGGCTCCAGAGGACTTTTGCGGTCCTTTCCTCTCTAACAGCCTGTGCTGTCCTATGTAGCTGAGGGTGGGGACACAAAGACCANTTCTCTGAGGCCAAACTTTATGACTTCTGGTGGGATGCTGGCTTCAGAGGACTTTTGCGGTCCTTTCCTAACAGCCTGTGCTGTCCTATGTAGCTGAGGGTGGGGACACAAAGACCAGCAGGGTATTTCAGCCTCATTGTCACAAGAACCATCATGACTCGGCATTTAGCGTGTGCCAGGCGCTGAGCTGAGAGTTTCACATACATCATGTCATTTACATGGCACATCAACCTTATGAAATATTTATCATCATCACCATTTTACAGGTAGGGAAATTGAGATTTAGGGAGATGAAGAAACTTGCCTAAGGTTTGCACCCTGGCCTGTCTGACTCCAAAGCTCACATTTTTAACCACTGGGCTCAAAGTAGTACGGACCAGATGTGGCAGAGGTGGGGGGGTTGCTCCCTCGCCGCCCCTTCCTGGCACGCTGATCCTTACATTTTGTATTATTTTCATTGTCATGGTTCCAGTAGATGGGCTTAGAGAGTTGATTCACAGTGAGTTTAGATCAAGGAGAACAGGACAGCCTTGGTTTTAGAGGGCAGCACCGTATAAATCAAGAACAGACAATAAATAAGCTCCATCCACTACCTCATCCAGTCCAACATCAAAGAAGACTAGGCTGAAGGTAACCTTCAAATTTATCCTCAAAGACAGGAGATCTAGTCTGAGAGGCCCTTGGCACGTATGCCACCATGCATCGGCCCCTGCCAAGGTTCCCCAGGCTGTAAGTTCATTCATTCATTCATTCATTCATTCATTCATTCATTCATTCATTCATTCAGTACATATTCATTCAGTGCTTCCTGTGTTCTCTGCACTGTTCCAGACACTTCATCACACCAGTGAATAAAACAGGCAGAAACCCCTGACAAAAAGAAGACCCCCAATTTCCAGAATCAAGCTGAGATTTAACACCAGGTTCCAAACCCAGGTGGGACAGAGGGGCGACTGTGAAAGCGAGGTCAGAACTAACTCAGCAGGAGAAAACTCTCTGGCCCCCAGCCTTCTGATGTGGAACAGCCTCAGCAATTACCTCAGTGGCTTTGCCACCAGCACTCTCTCTGCCACACCGATTTAATTACACCAGAGAAGATAGTGTGGGGACTTGGGTAGCAAAATCCCATTTCCCTCGGCAGCCTTGAGAGTCCTCAGTGAATTTCTGTCACTGGTGTGCACTTATTTTGATATTAAAATGAAATCTACGTTGGCTGTGTTTTTGGAGGAAGCTGACTGTGTCGGAAAAGGTTCTTTACGCTCTTGCCCCTCTCCCAGAGTGGCAGTAGCTTCTGTGGAAGGAGAGGTCTGGGGGGACGCTAACTGGGGGAGCTTTCGGCCTGGAGGCCAGAGCGCTGGGCGGGGTGGGGTGGGGGGACTGTAGGAGCAGAGGCTCCGAGCGATTCAAAGCTGCAACAAAGACACAGTAGGTACTTGGGTGTTTCCCTGAAACCCCATTTCTCAGGACCTCTACCTCCTCTTCTTCAAATGGCATCAGGCTGCATCTGGGCCAGATGTTTTCAGCTGGACTGGCTCCTCTTTATGGCAACTGTGATGACGCTAAGGAGTTTTGCAGGAAATAAATAATAAAGGGATAAAAGGAATCTTCCATACACTCCCATCCAAGGCCAGCGCGGAGGCTCCTCCCGGAGGCTTTAGGCTGGTGACCCCACTCATCAGGGGAGCCCCTGGGGTGGGCTCCCGGGAAAGCAGCCGAGCTTTCCCTGCACGCGCCCTCCCGTGTGCAGCCCAGGCTGCTCCGGGCGCCTGCTCTTCGGGGAAGCTTTGCCCCATTTCACTTCTAGGGCTAATTTGAGCCAGGGGTGGGAGGAGGCTCCTGGGACTCAAGCTACTCCTCTGTGATACTAAAACTCAAACACCATCTCCGACTTGCAGACTCGTGGCAAAGGGGCAAACCGCCAGCCCCACGTCCGGCCTGCACTCTCTACAGCTGCCCCCAAACGGCATTTCCTTGGTGGCTAGAATGGAACTTATTTTTTCATGTGGTTCCCAGCAGCTCTCCCGGTGCTGAGGCTGAGGCCGGGAGCCAAATGCACTTTGCTTTTCCGTGACTTTGCTCCTCTGACTGGGTCTGCAGGGCTGCCGTAGGCCGCGTGGACCTACAAACACACACTCAGACTCGACATACCCTGTGAAGTCCTGCGCCCCGCAGAAACCAGAAAGATTTTCCCTAATTGTTTCTCCTATTGTCTCCCTCCGCGAAGAGACAGAATGTTGGTAACAGCTCATATATGCTGAGTGCTGATTATGTGTCTGGCACAATGCTAAGCATTTATGTGAATTAGCTCGTTTATCCTTAAAGGAACCTTGTAAGTTATTTTTTCAGATTAGGAAACCAGCGCATTACAGAGCAAGAAAGTGGCTGATCAGGGATTTGAATCCTCCAGAACTGCTGCTTCTTTTCTACGAATACTGACAATTCTTCCCCCTTCTCTTGCCCAATCCTAATGCCCGGGATGCGGGGAGGCCGCGTGCAGGCCACTGGGTGGGAGAGGTACCTGAATAGCCTGTGATGTCCATCGCCTTGAGGTTCCGACACTTGATCACCGTGAGGGTGAGCCTGCCTGCTGTGGGCAGATAGCAGAGGGAGAACATGATCTCCCCCAAATCCACGCTTTCCTGCAAAGAAGCAGACAGGAGGTCAGATGCGGGAAGGCCACTCCCTGTGCAGCTGCTACAGGGCGCCCTCGGGCCTGGGGGGAGGCTCTTGGAGGCAGACAGGCATGTCTTTAAGGCCCGAGGTCTGGCCTCCATGCTGGGGGTAGCTGGGTATAAATGGCAATGATAACAATGCTGCCTCTTCAGTAGAACTGGTCGCCTTCAATGTCCCCTCTCAGACTCTGGTCCTGTCCTCTCCCGCCTGCTTTGGCCTGCCCTGCCTGCCCTACATGAGCCCCTCGGCAGCAGCCTTCATACCACCAGCCCCTCTGTGGCCCAGCCCTACTCTCCTCCTGCTCACCTTTTCCAGTTACTGGCACCTTTAGTACTATCCCCCCATGCCTGGCCTGAGGTCATGACAGTGGCCTATACAAGAAACAATCGGCCAGCAGGTGTCTCCCCCTTGCCAGCAGGGGTATTCCTGGCCCGCAGAGCAGTCATTCTTGTCAGTCCTTCAGTCTTGGCCAGGCCTCAGACCCTCTGCTGTGGTTGGGCCTCACTTGGCCCGATGGGAAGTCAGCTGCTCTTGGCTCAGTGGATCAAAGGGGGTGTTGTCCCCCTGTGCATGCAGGCAGCAGAGGACCAGGTTATTCAACAAAGGGAAATAATAGTTGATTTTGAGTAAATAGAGAGATAGAGGCTAAGGAAACAGAGAGTCGGCATCTCCCAGTAGCCACACTCCTCTCTGGAAAGCCTGGTCCCAAGGGTGGCCTTGCCGGGTCCTCTCTCTGCCCTATTCTCATTTCCCAGGACATTTCAGCTCCAGACCCATATGCTTTCCTAGCCTTTCATCCTCATTAGGGATGCTTGAGACTCTGGCTTTAATAAAACCAGGAGTGACCAGGGGCTGCAGAACAGCTAGCATGTTATTGCTTTCATCTCCACCTGCCGTCAGGGGAGGCCGCCTCAGGGCCCCTGGCTGGTAATGAGCTCCCCGCTGCTGGAGAGGTCACTGCTGTCCAGAAAGAGGCAGAGACTCACTTGGCCCTCTGGACTCCTAGCCTGGGGGTTGCGGGGCAGATCTGAGCCCAGCAGCTGCTGGCTAAAAGTCTTGGCTGGTGCTTGGAGGGGTGGGTTTGCTGCCAGGGGAGGAAGAGCCAGGATGTTGGCTCCTAGAGAGTCAGTGCTTAAAGTGCAGCCTGTCCACCTGACGTCGCTGCCCGTAACTGCAGCACTTTTCCCTGGCTGCAGTGCCCAGGCATCTGGGCAGTCAGATTCTTAAAGGCACAGCACTGCTCCTGCTGGCTCCCCAGCAGCCCGTCTGCAGGACCCCACTAAAGGGCTTCTCTCTCCTTGATGTGCTCACAGAGGCCTAGGCACAGAGAACAAATTCCTGGGGGTGGGTTGCCCAGGGAAGAGTAGTGAGCCACAGGGGCTTTCGTCCCTCTGCTGCTAACCAGCTTTGAGACCTTGAGCACGTCCTTTCACATCTCCGGGCTCCGGTCTGTAATATGAGGGAGTTATGCTAGAGGTTCTATCCTTAAGGTCCCTGCCAAGTCGTAAAACCAAAGATTCAAAGTGGAAAATCTATCTGCAACCGTCACCAATGGAGAGGGCCCAAGGACGCCTGGCTGGTATCTATTGCCCACCTCGAAGAATCTAGCAACTTGGTTTTGAAATCCAAATGCTCTCATTCCTCCTGTCCCCAAGCCTCTAAGTGTTTTGCTCTTCCCCGGGACAAGCTTTCTTTCTCCTAAACAGGCAACAATGCCTCCGGGTCTGTCTTGGGAATCCAGGCCGAGGCAGCCAGCACGATGCTTCCCCATCTCAGAGAACACTTCTAGTCTCTTAATCATTAAGTGGCTTGTCTGAATCGCTCATCATCAGCAGAGAAGCATCCGCTGTACTTTCAGGAAAGCCACAGGAGACGAGAGGATCTCTGCAGCCTGGGCAGGAAGCGTCAAGTTACCCCGGGGCAGGGCGGTCTGGAAGAGAGATGGGGTGGACGCCAATTTGGCTCCATTTGGCAACATCCGATGGGCAGCGTTCCGTGTAGGCCTGAGGCTTGGAGTTGGGGGTGGAGATGTGTCAGATGCGGAAGCAGGACACTTGGGCTGGACCGATTGCCCTGGTATCTGCCTACACAGCACTGAGACGCCCCCTCTTCATAGCCTCTGCCACAACCATAACGTTTCTGTTGATCACGAGGATTATATGATGAATGCTGTGTTCTCACTAGATCGTGGGCTCTTTGAGCTCAGGGATGGGGCTGATTTTGTTCATCTTTACACCTTTCCTGTCTAGACCACTGCCTGATGCGCAGTAAGTGCTCAGTAAACACTGGCTGATGGAGGAATGGTTGCGAATATGGACTGAGGGTCAGGCAGCCCTGGGGCAAGCTCTAGCCCCGTTGTTTATGAGCAGTGCGACCTATTTAACCTTTCATAGTCTCGGCTTCCTAATCTGTAAAATGGGGCTAATAACAGTGCAACCCTTCAGGGTTGTTTTGAAGATTAAACAAAGTGATTCATGCAAAATGCTAAGCAACACTAAGTGCTCAAGAAGGATTAAGAGCTATTATAATTTTTACTACTATACTTAATACTATTATAAAGAGCTCATGGTCTTGGGGCAGGGGAAGGGACAGGGGAGAGAGGGACATATAAGTAACGCTGTTTGGTTTGATTAGTGCTCTGAGAGAGGTGTGGACAAGACATAGGGGAGCAGGGGAGGGAATAATAAACTCTGCCAGGGATTACAGGGAAGGCTGCCCAGATGGGGTGATATTTGATGGGATCTAGCAAGGTGAGTAGGAGTTTGTTAGCAGAGAAAAACAAGCAAAGGCTGCATAAAGACACAGAGGAAGGAGATGTGAGTTTTCCCCCCGCCTCCAGCAGCCCGGATGAGACTGGGACCAGCCTCGTCTGTCTCATGGCCCATACTTAGGAGTGTGTCATTCATTCGTTATCCACCTACTAAATGTTCACAAATATGGGCAAACAGTAGTGATAAAACGTCCCAGCCCTCCAGGAGATTGTATTCTAGGGGAGGGAGACAAAAATAAACGGTGCAAGAGAGCATCTGAGGGTGGCAGTGACTTGGTAGATGATACCGTGGGTCTGGCTCTCGCCCAGGAAGTGAGGGGTGGCTGCTGAGCTGGAGCACGCAGGGAAGGGGAGAGGGGGCCCGGGGAGGCAGGGCCAGGACTGAGGGGTCGGATTTTATTCCCTGTGAAAAGCAGGGCAGTTTGGAAACCTCAGCAGGCTCGTAGAGAATGGATGGCAGGGAAAGAGTGGATGGAAGCCAGAGGATGCTGACGGCTCTCCCTCCTGCAGCCTCCACACCTAGTCAGCCACCCAGCCACATGGTTCTGCCTTAAGTGTCCCTGGACTCCGAGTCCCTCTCTTTCCCTCCTCTCTGTGCTACCTTAGCTCTGACCCGCGCCATCTCCAGCCTGACCTCCCAGCTTTCTAACTCCCCGCCACCTCCCCTTCCAACCTGTTCTCCTTGCTGTAACCAGGGGGTTGTTCTCCTGCTCAAAATCCTTCAATGGCTCCCCATTCCACACCTGTTTTATGCTTGGAAAACTTCTTCTTCAAATGAAACATAATCCAGAAGCCCAAATGTATACAACCTGATGAAAAGTGGCTCAGAGGCAGGGCACCCAGAGCTCCTCCTTCTGTCCCCTCCACAGAGCAGAGTGGCATTCAGGTTTCTTCAGGATTGGGCCCTTGCCTTTCCTGCCAGCCACTCTGCTCCAGGCGCCCTATATACCAGCCATGAAAACAGCTGACATTTTTTGAGTGTTTACTATGTGCCATTCAGTCCTAAGTGTTTATACATATTAAGCCACACAAACTTCACAAAAGCCAAAGACATGGTTATTATCATTATTGCCATTTTCTACACAGACACTGAAGTACAGGGAGGTTAGTCAACTGGCCCAAGAACACACAGCTGCAAAATGGCAGAGCTGGGATAGGAGGCCTGGCAGCCAGTTGAAGTGGCTGGAGAGCCCACAGTCTGGGCCACTCCACCACCCTGCCTCTCTGTGACCCTGCCCTCCCCAACCCTCCAGGTCCTTTGGCCCTGCCATGCCTCTGCCCTATTCCTTCCACCACCTGAAATAACCTCTCTACCTCTGACTGTCCTGGGCTGACGCAGCCTTTCCAGGAAGCTGTCCTGTTCCCTTCTCTTGGGTCACCTCCCCTCACTCATCTGGTCTGACTTAGGGTGTGCTCATATTATCCCTGGGTCTAAAAGCCTAAGGACAAGTGTTACAAATGTCGTGGAGCAAAGGCAAGGCCCACCTGGGGCAAAATCTGTAGGATCTGGAGACCCACCAGATGAGGGGGTGGCAATAGAGAGGGAGACTCTCACTCCACCCACCCCCCAGCCCCCATGCTGGCTCAGGACTCTGCTGGGAGGGGGAGTCAGGGAGTGAGCATTCCCTCCTGGGTGCTGAGAGCTCCTGCTGCAAGTGATGACGTGGGTGGGTAGGTGGGTTCCTCCCTTGATTGTCCCGGGCCTGGGCTTCCAGGGCTCCAGGGACAATGCTAGGGGCGGGCTGGTGCTGTGACTCTCCGGCTCCCTGCTGGGTTCTGTTTGTTCCGAGTTCCATGCCTGCTTTCTCTCTCAAGTGCTTTCCGCCCCGAGGGCTTTGCAGCATCATGAATAAATAATGGAGCAGAACTGAGGCACCTTAAAAGAACGCCATATACTCCAGCTTCAGCCTGCAGTGTGGACACTGAGAGCCTGAGACCCTGGGGAGAAGAGAAGGACACTCTGGCTCACGTGGAGCCCGGAGGTGCGGGAGGAAGTAGGTGAGGTCCTGGAGGCTGGGTTTGGTCCAGGGGGACCATTGAGAGACTAAAGTGCATCAGTGGGAGGCAAATGTTACTGTATTTGAGCATCTTCAGGGAAACAGATGGTTTTATTTAGGAAACTTTCTCTCAGCCTCCCATTGTGAACCTGTCCTTAAAAAGAGGTTTAGTGTTTCACATGCACCATTACTTTTGGGC